TATAAGCTCTGACAGTCTTGGACTTTATACGGCGCTCAATTGGTCATATTCACCTTTTTTAAATGAGTAGGAGAGTTCGTTAGGTACTCGTACATAAAAGAAATTTCGTGTAGGTAGGTAGGTCATATGTCAACTGCCGGAGTAGGCGACACTCCGTGCGTCGAAGATTTCCAATTCCTCTCGCCTAACCCTGTGCGGGTGAAGTCATATGATGATTGAACCCTAACAACCTACAAGGCTCAGCATATGTCCATTACGAACAAACAAAAGCTGTAATATTTCCAAAGCAAAGGTTTTTGACATAGCTAATATTAGTAAGTAAATTATATTTAGGGTTTATTTAGTAACTTTCAGTTTCTAAGCAACACATCTAAAGAACTAATGTTCGGTCATAAGAGATATCTAACAACGCTTGTGATTTGTGAAACAGTTTCTCAAGTACATACTTAGTTCACGAATCTTAAAACAATAACACAAATCACTTGGTTTTATATTACACCAGTAAATTGTCATTTTGAGTAGATCCAAAAATAGGGTTAAAAAACATAAGGACTCCATTTAAATAGTATTTATTTAAATAATCAAGAGATAACACGTATTATATTAAAATATTTACATGATAATTTAATTCCTATTACACTACGATAGTTGCGATAGATGTAGAGGAGCATACAAGATATATATGTCGCAAAAAACATTTAAAAATAAAAAAGAATAATCCATGATCGCAGAGCAATAATATACATCATGTTGTCTTGCGTAAGTATTTCATTTTAATAATACAATTTAGCTAAACATTCGAAAAGAAATAGCAATAAATGACTGACTCTGCGACAACCTATTACTGCATACTTTAAACAAAACGAATACAGAATTTGTATACAATTAATTTGATATAGGAAAACTTGGAAAGTTACATAAAATATATCCATTTTCACGGAACACAGCTATCGTTTATATATCCTTTTTCATACACTTCAGAAACTTTTCATAATCTCATATTTAACATTGATACGAAAATAAAGATCAATAAAGGTATCAAGGGATGTTTTCTAATAGTATGGTTTCATTCAAACTATATTTACAATAGCTACCGTCAATCTTTATTTTCTTATCAAATAATACACTTCCATATATACAAACAAGTTTATTGGCTTCTGTTTAGGCAATAAGTAGGTAAGCAAGAAACATGAAAGTACAATGTTCCGTCAAAATGCTGCAAAACCACACATAAATTACGTGAACTCTTGACCTAACTCAATCCAAAACCTACGTGTAGGAGGATTTTATTATTGTGTAATCAGAAAATTAATTCGACGGTGTATTAAAATTATTTTCGATAATTAATCTCACCTATCTCATGTGCTCTCCTCCCATTTGGAAAATCGTAACAAATTGCACGGTTTTTTTTTTGTAAATTTGTGATGTAAATGTAGCTTAGAATAAACTCACGTTCAAGATAATTATTGGTGTTTTATTATCTTTCGTGACCACATAGGAAAGATGTCTATAATCTTTTGAAGCTTATAGTCTCACGTGAGTGAGTGGTGAACATGCTCACGTAATCAATGAATGGCTCTGGAAAACCTAATAAAGAAATTTTCATTGTAAACTTTAAATACATGTTCTACATCTAAGGCCTGTTGGTGATGCTGGTAAACTTAAGCTAATCGCTAACTATTACATACATTGATTTACAATAACATGCTATTTAATAAATACTATTAATTCATGAACTTTCTATTGTAAAAGGTCGGCTTAAAAAGTCTCGATCGAACTCGATTAAAAAGTATGTTTACTATTTTTTAAATGTCAGTTTGGTTTTTTAGTCACTTCAACTGACAGCGAAAGATAAGAGGTCTAAGCTTCATGGAATTGACGCTGCAATTTTAAAATTGCAATAGAACCAGTTAGAATGCTATTTAAATAACAAATGTATAATCGACCGACAAAAATTGTGACCTACCACATCAATAATGAAATTGTCAATACAATAAACAATCCGCCTAGCTAGACAGTGCAATTCGTACGAAGTTTTAAACACACGGTCTCGCATGGATATTTGGGTTAATGAAATCTGTCGAAGCACTAGAACATATTAAATCCAGTTATAGGACAAGTAACAAGGTCGTTACCACGGAATTGTAAATAAGCTTGAGCTGAATCATATTTCCAAATTGTCGATTGTACTTCAATAAATAACTCGATTGTATTCTTTTTGCAATAATCTATGAATATAGTTAGCAGTAAAAAAGTAGAAAAAAATATGGCAAAATATACCACTTGTATATTTTTCAAGTAAGAATATACATGACAAACATTTATATTATACATTACCGATTTATACAAATCAATACATCTTGTCTAGTGTGATGCTGACAACATTTAATACTTTAGTTAAATATATTGCACACATCAATAATTTATTATGACTTTATTATTTTCAATGATATAATACATTTTAAAGGAATTTCGCACTGTGTGTACATTATTTTCAATAAAATACTTAGTATAGATTAAATATTATGATTGTTTTTACATTGAAACATCTAGAATCTTGAGTAATTTTCATAAGACCTAAACTATGCCAATCGATTCCAAAAAATGAGATGTAATTTACAAATTTTCTTTAATAATATAAGTGTTGTTACGAAAACAGTATTTATTCTACTTACTCCTTCCACGCGGTTTCACCCGTTGCTTAGATCCTATTGCGTGATGTTTGATAGCCTTCCGTATATAAATGTATTACCCATTATAAAAAACAATTACGCGCTTAGACAGACGATTTCTTTAGCTTCGCAATATTACTATGTATGACATAATTAAATGTAAACATATCTACTAATACATGGAGACACATACAAATATATGTTAACTAGTAATATTTTGGGTGCTACTAACATCTAGAATTTTCTAAGTGCAACATCGAAGTCTAGTCTTTAACATTGGCTCATATACTTTTAATTTACCCTTTTAGTTACATTATCTAGTCATATTTTAGTCTTTTTACCGGACTACGGCGAAGCAAAAAGGCTATAATTATAACACAAATAAGAATAAATGAAATAACGTGTAATTTGATGGAAGATTAGTAACATTTATATTGAACTGTGTATAGATAAATTAAGATGAGAATATTCTATTGTTGCTAAGGATTGAGTAAAGTTATTAAAAACTTTTTGGAACATAATTGTCTGTGGTTACTTTTTTTTAAGTGAGTTATTTTTTACATTTTAATGTTTTCTTATAATACTTAAACTAATTCCCATTTAGTGCGAATATAATAAAAAGTGACATTACATTGAATTATTAAGTATTAAAAAATTTTAAACTGTTTAATCATCTACGATAAGTATGGTAAAATTGAAAGATTATTATTTAAAAAGTGGCAATATTTCTTTGTAATTACGTTATTTTATATATAGTACCAAAAATCCAGCGTGATGTAATAATTATATTCGAATAAATTGCAAATATGTAATGAATGCGAGTTCTATATTTTTACAGTAAATGTATTGGTTATGATTGCTTGTTGTTTCGTTATTTTTCTTTATAAAGAAATCCTTAACAATTATATATGGGATCGTGATGGCTTATTTTTTATAAGAATGTATATTATATGCTTATTCTATGTATACACGTTGCATATAAGCTTCGAGGACAGACAGACATGTCATATCAGTTTCTACTATCTTTAGCATTATCGTTGTCTGTGGTGCGAGTTAGTGATACCTGTGTATGCACGGAACATCACAATAGTTGTTTAAATTAATCATTATTTTTACTATCACGCTATGACCCTACTATCACAAGCAAGTTATCATTAGTGCTATACATATAATAATTAATAGTATGTCACGGTGCAGTAAAGACATATCAAAAACTTCAACATTCATAACTTATGTAAATATACACAATACATAGAAAACATACATATTAATATGAGTGCTTATTTTAATACATAGCTAAAAGATATGAACATGAATCGTGCGATGCCAAAATTATATAATAAGTGTATGTATATAATTTGGGAAACGACGGCAGTGGGTTTTTACAATGCATACCTACTAAGAATGTTGGTATTTAATCCATGGAAGACATTGACCAATTTCCTTTAAAAAATTTACCACATTAATATCGATCACTGTAGCCTAACCAGGCCTGTCTTAAGACTCATAAATAACAATTTAAATATAATATAATAATACAACTAATTTAATGTAAACTTTCACTATTTAGACTCTTGTCTTTCATTTTGGTAGTCTTTATCAGCATGTATCTCATCGAAGCTATATATGCTGGCAAACCTTATACTAAACCTTACTGACTATGAAGACTCGAAGAGATGAATGAAAATGGTTACATTCACTTGCTTAGTTCCTGTTAAGATAAATTACTGTGAAAATTGTCTATTACAGAAAGAATTCAAAGTGTTTATTTGTAACTGTATGGTGCAAAACAGTTTCAGTGTGCATAAATCCACATCAATAGTAAATATATCAGTAAACTCCTACTCGATCTAACATTTAATAATAAGTCTTCATTGTACCTCTATAACACGTGTGTATAATGTATACGTCAAAAAATGCTTCAAAATTTTTTTCTTGTATATGTGCTTTGAATATTATATTTCTGAGTTTTATATTGCTTTAGCTTTCTTACATCTGTCGGTCTGTCCTCGAAGCAAGTGATTATTTGAAATACAAAAAGTATTTCACCTACCTCCATCCATTGATGGCGCAGCAGTAGGGCCCCGATTTTAAATTCATCATGTTAGTTTGCAATTTTGGTATAGTCTGTATCATGCTTGTCAGGACGTAAAGAACTATGATATTTTTCAAATATTGATAACATTTTACAATTTAAAGAAGTGACCAATCGAAGAAGTTTTGACAAACTATATCTAAAATAGTATTACTGTATAAAAGAGAAAACTGAAGCACGCCTTCAAGCATGACACATTGGAAACTGCAAACTACATAATTGATAGACATAGTCATATATATACGGGTAGTTGTCTACCTACTTTAAAAATCCGGGGCCCCGGTAAAGATTTACCTTAGTATAGCTACGCCACGGATGAGGTATGAAGCGAGTCCTAGTTCAGCATCGTATGCCTGTCGTAGATGTTGCGGCGCTGCTCACGAACTTGGCGCTTCCACTTGTCTTGCTGGTGCGTCACCCTGTTGAGAACGTTGCCACGCGCTCCCATTTGCTGTGAAGGCCCGCCGAGCGTGCTCTCGTCCTGCAGAATCAATAATCCATGTTTCTAATACAAGTTACATGTTCAAAGAAGACAGCAGCTGTATGATGTCACATTGAAATGTAAGTAATTTGGTCACAATGAAAATGAAGTGTAACACGAAAAGAATGGTAATGTTCAATGTTTATGGAGACGCGTTTTGTTTGAGTGAGAGCGGATTTTGGAGCGTAAGTACAGTTGTGAACACGACACAAATACCTATTTTATTGCCGTCTCAGTTCACACACATACCGAGTAACCAAGTGACTCTTGTGTTTTACATAATACGTTGTTATTTTGGTTATATTATGGTCACCCGTGTATAGATTACCCGGCGGAATCAGCTGTGGATCCTGTTGCGTATGCCGTAGCGAAGCACGCAAGAGACCACGCCCGCCCCACGCCGGAACCTGCACAGACGCACGGTCCGCGCCGCAAACCGTTCAAGAGTGTGTCTCACGCGACGCACAAAGCTTCGCGTCTCCATAAACGAGGCCTAAGATAGGAAACATAGGCCTCATTTACATTTAAAACTGTCTGTCTAATGGACAGACACTTCCTACGTATTATTGTGCAGTTTTTCTATAGCATGTTGTTTTACGAATTAAAAATAGAGCGCCGAAAATGTTGCTAGCGTTGTTCTGAATGAATGTACCAAATTGGATTTTAAATCAATTTTTGGACATCGTTTTCTGTGATTAAGTAATTAAACCTACAACCGAGTAGGTAATTTTCTATCTTTTAGCTATTATTATTTAAATTTCATTAGATGAACATACATCAACTGAAGACCCACGTAGAATCATTGCTTAATGAAATTTGATAGTACGTAGGAAGTGTCCAATGATGAGTGGCAATAGGGATTTTCTTTTATATGAAATGCGAAAGTGACTATGCGAGACCTAGCATAGCGTAGCCAAGACTAGGTATCTAATTTAAGATACAGCTTAATATTTTCCTCATTGATAAATTCTTAAATATTTAACATCCAAGCATGTTGGCTGGATATTGGTCTTATCTATCTATCACTTTTTTACAACGCTAATACAATATAGTAGTTTACAACTAATCAAATTCAATATTCATTACACTGATTTATAAGGCCATAGTATTCGTCAAATAACTTACTTATCTCATAAAAATTAGCTAAAAATATCTAAAATTAAGCGTATCGATGAATAAAAGTATAGTTATTTCAAATATTATATTGTATTGAAACGTCTAATTAAATCATTTTTGATCTAGGAACTACCCCATTAAATGATCTCTGGTTTGAACGAATGACAATGTGATTAATGGGAAGATGCATATGAAAGAAAGAAAGAATAACGACAAGCAGGCACACAAACAAAAAAGCACGCAATATCTAGGTAGGTAGGTAGGTCAATATAAAGGTCATTTTTGAGTACAGCGGTAGCTGTCCGTGCAAAAAGGTGGTATAAAAACTTACATCTTCATTGGTGTGTTCTTGGTAGGATGCCTTGGCGCGTTTGTTGATGAGTGGGTCGAGGCAGATAAGGAAGCCCATGTACACCACAAGCAGCATAATCACCCATATCACTATGATCACTACCACCTGCAATTTTTATAATAACACACTTGAATGAGTATTTGTTGTTGAGAAAAGTATATAAGTAGGTCATGTTGCATTTTCACTTATTTTGTAAAAGTTTTGTAGTATTTTTGGTGGTCCAAAAATTCCAAAATGCTTTGGCCAGGCAGGCCAATTTAATTATAAATGAGTATCGATACTAGGGACAAGTCATCTTCGAACCCTTTAAATAAACTATTAATTAATTAAGTAAGTACGTTTTTAAATAATGGCTAAAGAGAACATTTAATTTTATTAAAATTACTTAATGCACATAGATACACACTTGATAAATCTCGATCCATTTAGTTGCCCAATGACATCTATGGAAAAGAATGGACAATAAACTCTATCGTTAATCTTCTAAAGACAATGTGTTTTACAGACTGTTTCAAAAATATAAAATCTCCACTTTTCAAACCATTCAGTCCTTATGTGTACTGAATCATCATCATCACGATCATCTAAGTGTGGGAGAGCCATGCTTCAGCACGAATGGGTCGGCTCGACCGGAGTGATACCACGGCCTCACAGAAAACCGGCGTGAAACAACCACAGCGTTGTGTTTCGCCGTATGAGTGAGGTTACCGGAGGCCCAATCCTTCCCCTTCCCGGACCCTTCCCAATCCCTAAATCTCCAAATCCCTGATCCCTAAAAGGTCGGCAACGCACTCGTAACTCCTCCGTTGCGGGTGTCCATGGGCGGCGTTGATTGCTTACCATCAGGTAATACGTCTGCTCGTTTGCCTACTTATTAAAAAAAAAAATAATAAATAAAAATCAGTCTACAAATGCCCACTGATGAGCTAAGGCCTCTTCTCAAACGGAGGTTTGAGCATTAATCACCACGCTTGCTCAAGGCGGATTGGCGATTTCAAACTTATAATTAGAAATTATAAGTCCAGGTTTCCTCACAATGTCTTTCTTCAACGTATGTCAGTGGTGTCTATATAATCAATTCATAGAAAATACATGTGACTCGGAAAAAGTCACATTGGGTGTACTTAACCAGTATTTTTGTATGGGACTGAGGGTCATCTCAGTTACACTGTCATGTGTTTTGCCTAAAAATATAACCTGATCTGAAGAAGATAGCTTCCAGTCTGTAGACGAGGTCACGCAACGTTTCGAGTAACTGCATGAACTGTGTCCTACAGGACAAAGCTTGTGTTTCGCCGTGTGAGTGAGGTTACCGGAGGCTCAATCTTTCCCCTCCCCCAATCCCTCAATCTCCAAATCCCTAATCCCTAAAAGGTCGGCAACGCACTCGTAACTCCTCCGTTGCGGGTGTCCATGGGCGACGCTGATTGCTTACCATCAGGTAATCCGTGTGCTCGTTTGCCGACCTATCACTTAAAAAAAAGGAAAAATAGCTTTAATTCTACCACGTATGCACCTCGAAAGATGGCAAGTCAACATCTCCTGAGGATGTTACGTTAATCAGGTTCTTTCTATATTCAAATTATTCAAGTACACAGTGTTGAGACATTGTAAAACAAGTACTAATACTTTGTTGAGTTCAAACTCAGCTGGGCACTTATCATAGGTAAGGAGAAATAAATTTGTGTGGGAGAGCCATGCTTCGGTACGAAGGGGTCGGCTCGACCGGAGTGATACCATACCTCACTGAAAACCGACGTGAAACTACCATAGCGTTGTGTTTCGCCATGTGAGTGAGGTTACCATCTCCAAATCCCCAAAAGGTTGGCAACATAGTCCTCGCAACTCCTCCGCTGTTGCGGGTGTCCATGGGCGGCGCTGATTGCTTAACATCAGGTAATCAGTCAGCAGTTTGCAGTCTTATCACATAAAAAATTCTCATCACATAAGCAATCACTCATTAACTGCTGAATGACTTCCAGGCCAACCAGCTTATGGTTGAAAGACCAGCATTGGATTCAGTAATTGGATTCAGTTACTACATGCAAATCATTGAAGGATGCTTATCATGCTTACATACCTTGATGATAGTAGTATTCCTGTTTTCGTACTTGCATTCACAGCGTGGACAGAACTCTTGCTCCCGACCTTTGATCTGATCAGCTACACGTGGCAGAATCACGGATTCGCAGTTGCTGCCCAGGGACAAATAAACACAATAATATAATCAAGTGTTTTAGGAATAAAAATTGGGTAACTCATGTTAATAATAATAATCAACAAATTGGATCATTGAAACAAAGAGATACAATATTACTTTAATATTTTTCGCAAAAGCTATTTAAAATGACATCATTAACATCAACCTATGCTATGCTTAGTGAAGACATCTTTCACACACTGACAAGGACAAGACATTAATTTAAATTAAATAATGTATTTATAAAAATAGAGCAAATGTTGAATACAAATTAAAATTGCCTCATTTTAAAAAAATATTTATTCGCTTTAAATGCAGCACCAAAATGAATGTAGATAACAGAATAGACTTCCATCAACATGTTAAAAACCTCTCCTAATAATTTCCAGGATTAATATAACAATATTTAATTCAATTTTTTACAAATGTGATGGTAATATTTTCATTCAATAATTTTACAAATATCTTTAGTTTTTATTGGTTTATTGGTATTACGAATTATTTTGGGTATTTTGGTTTTTGTGCTATAACAGTCTGTAACTTAACCTGGTAATATTGGCATTGCATTAGGATTTATAACTAGGGACTCATAACATAAAAGATGGAGAACATTCTCACATCATTATATGCAATCAGTTCTGCTTTAATGCAGTGCCACTTTGAGGTAAAAAGACATAAAACCACACAGATTATGATATAAAACTATTTTTTTATTTAAGATTGGTAGAACATGAAAATAATTTGTAAATAAAACTACTTAGAAATCGTACTGCAGAACAAAAAAGGCGAAAAAAATAAATTCGCATAAGAAATGCATATCGCAGCGGCATCAAGAAAAAGGAAGCAATTGCATGGCAAGCTCAAGGTGCAATCACATAAATTGAATAAACGTTTTGAAACTACAATAGCAATGGCATTGAATAGGTGTTCAGTTGATCATCCAATATAATTGAACGGAACGGTTCTGAAGAAATCTCAGCGCAGCATACTACATAGTCAAGATTTTATTATTTTCCACTTGCAGTTATGTAATAGTTTTCCAAGTAAACATTTTAAGATGAGGTTGACATTTCCTCCCTGACTACCCTTGGACAAAATTGGCAAAGCTAGAGATCATGGTCTATTAGGACTATAGTAACTATAGAACTGCAAAACAATTTAATATTTAAATATCTCAATTTCCCAACTACAAAATTCAGAACTCATTCATGTCACTTAAAAGTATTCTTTTGTAAATCATTGTTAATTTTGTTAATTATATTATAATTCTCATAAATACTTGTATTCTTACAGCATTTAATAAAAGGTGAATATGTTTACATTTAATAACATTCACAAAATTAATCAGTATGTAGTATAACAACGCCCAGTGTATCAAATGTTCTTCTTATCATATACTTTTTTATTTAATGAATGTGCCATCTATACATTTATTAAAACAGAATTTGAGTCTGTTGTGGAATGTTTCCTAGTCAGTATGAGTCTGACACTCCTTCTTGCTCCACCTCAGGAGATTGAAGGAAATTGGTATTTTCCCACAAAAAAGGCACTATGACACAGATTAGGGTGTGCAACTGGATAAAAAACCATCATGTGATAGTGTGTTCAGATTTGGAAGAAGACAGATTGCCCGACTAGTTATAAATCAAGAAGGAAAATATCCTTTATAGTTTTCTTACCATTTATTAGGTGGTACATTGGCAGATTTCATGAAAGGGCTCCGATCAGCTCCAGCTGTGTTGTTGAGGACAGCAGCTGGGCTTGGGCAAACACATTTACATCGATTATCTTCATAGGAGTGGCCCTGTAATGAAAAGGAGAAAGAGTTGTATTATTTAGTTATAAGAGATGAAATAGAAATTGGTCAGTATTACGGAAGGAAAAGATAAGTTTTGAAATAACTTTAATAATATAATTTATAACTGCTACATCGGGTGAATGTTTCTGTAAGTATAACTGTCTAGTCTGTCGAGTATAGCTTAGATTCATAGCCCAGCACTATAGGGTTTGCAAATTGTAAAGCTTTTTATTAATTACATAGAATCTAATATTGGGCCATGCCTTAAACACTCGGCTAGTGAAAAGACAGCACTGCAGTACAGAATGGTGATTGGATTGGTCACTTATTATTTTTACCTGGTATCATGGTGGGATGCTAACTAGTTACTACCTTGCTCCTGCATTAAAACCATATGAGATGTAATTTTATTGAGATTAATGGTTGAGTTTAAAACTTATCAAAAGATTTTAATTCTATTAAGGGTCGCAAATATTCCTTACAAAATGAAAGGACTCCATAAAATCGATAATTGAACAAAGAAGACCAAGCTTTTGAATTCAGAGGGCAAAATCAATGATATTTATCACAAGTGCGCAGGTATTACACGCAAACATAAGAAAAACAACTAGAAAGACAAGAAAATATAATTATATTATCTCATACTTACAGACACAAAGACAGCACTGGTAGCAGCGAAAACTAAAGCTATGAATTTAAAATACATTTTGGTTCACAACGCAAACCAATTACGCACTCAAAACAACAACATACGAAACTATAGTGGCGAAGGGATTATAAATAATTCAATTTGTCAGATCACACCACAACAGGATTATCGGCCATTTTGTGAAAGCTTCCTGGAATGTTACCAGATGAATAAAATATTGAATTTATGGACGATGGTCTAATACTCGTGGTTTGTGATGTTTTATATACTTCTCATAAAAATGTGTATAGAATTTATTTGAAATAAAACGAAAGTATTTTAAAAGTAATTTGATTTTACTCCTTAAATTATAGACACTAAAGTTTCTCAATTAAGTCCACAGATGGCGCTACATGTCTTAAACGGTGCGGAAATTGTGTACCTACTCCAGAGTCCCGACATGTAACAACCCTTCAAGTGGGTCCAGTGTTTGTGATTTCATCAGACAGATGTCACTTGTAGTCACTGTTGCAACTTGCAACTGTTCAAAATATCGAGCAACCTACAAGTGCTACGCACAAGTGCTCCTGAAGATGTTATTATAATTACTTGTATGATTTATTTTTTTGAACGTAAATTAAAAAATATAAGACACAACTTATTACAGAGATTATTAGTAACCAGCCAAGTCGTTGAGTTTCTTGTCGGAAATTCGCCACATATCGACTCATAAACCTAGTTGAAATGTTAGTATTAGTTTAATCCATTGGCAGAATTGAATTAGCCTCCATACAACTGTGACGTAGGTACCTACTTATGCCCCGATGAAGTAGGTTTAAGAAGGTTAGTAGGTAGGTACCTGGGTCATAATATTTGGATGATTCCGATTCTCTTGTTAATTTTCGCTTAGAAATGAGGAATAAATATTTATTTTTATCTACATTTGTTAAAGTATCTATTTGATTCTTTCTAATATGTCGCATGAAAAAATATTATGAAGATTGAGTAGCTAGTGCCCATTTTCACAAGAAGATGGCGCTACTTGTCTTAATTAACTTTGATACACTCCTATGGCAACGTACCTATTTTAAGTTTTATACTCTGCACAAACGTAATTTTTGCACGTCTGCCCAAAAAGGAGTGTTATGTTTTTAAGTTTAGGAGAGCCATACTTCGGCATGAATAGGCCGAGAATCCATGCATGGCCTCACGGAACACCGGCGTGAAACAACAATTACCTACCTACGTTGTGTTTGGTCGTGCGAATGGAGTTTATGGAGGTCCACTGCTTCACTCCCCACTCTTCTACCTGCAGCACCTGGTCTTTTATCTGCAGCATAGGTACCTACACTTAAGTGATTGGACTAAGCAACATAATGTAGGTAGATACCATTAAAATAAGCAACTTAAAGTAACTTAACGTGACAACAAAATAGGAAAATTGAAATATTTTCACTCATTCTCTCGCCCTGGGTGGGACGAGAGAAGGAGAGAAAATAGACAAGGAGAGAGGAGGGAGGAGCAGGAGAGGGAATAAACCAATTTTTTTAATACGGAGGAGAGGGACTGTCATACTTCTACTTACTAAAACCCACTAACTTTTATTGTGCTTGCAACCACGATCTGTGCGACCAAAGTAGGTACCTATTTTAATAATTTTTCGCGTTAATATCCGCGTAATCATACGGCTAAAAACCCAGTTCGTTCCTTTTCCTGCTCGCAATGGATGTACCTATATTACGTGACTGACCCTTCAAAATCAAAAGTAAATTAATCATGGCATCAGAAGTTGTGTAAACCCCATAATCCACGGTCTTTCGGTGCGCGACCTAAAAATAACAGCATTTGCACAAGCCAATAGAGCAAGCTATAAAAAAATTAATTACATTTTTAATCTGCAAAAATGTGAGCAGGCGATGGATTAGTTCGATAAAGCTTACTGGAAGTGCCATGGGGATTTTTTTATAAAAATATAACAATGAAACATTTTTGTAGGTATTAAGATAAAAAATCATTATAAATAAAATTCTCTAAATAATGTACTTTATAACTACTTATAATACGTAAGTTAATTATACTTGTCATTGATTACATATTCAAATACGCCCACAATTAAAAATACTCTTAATAATTTTGAGGACAACATTATTATTCCCATTAATAAACTTGATATATATTGTATATATATAACCTATAAAATAAACTACATTGAAACTGAACAATTTTCAAGTCCAATTTAAGACTAAAAGTAGATACGTCCAGCGAGCGTGTATTTGGGCAGTTCTAGTGTAATTTATAGCCGTGTCATCCCGTAGTGGCCCCAAGGCGAACACACAGAAACTTAATCTGATTTTATAGAGACCATAGGATGCCGATTAGTTGGTACTTGTTGGGGTCGCACTGCACTAATTTAATTTTATAATTCACTGTAATGTATCTTCTGTGACGAATCGATTGGTAACTTCTATTTGACAGTGGTCTATTTGATTGGATTTTAATTTTGGTTCGATATACCTACCTATATCTTTCTTTTAGTAGATTGTTTTATTTATAGGCATGTTAATTGTGTCCAGTGTCTAAAAGAAATGTGTCGATGAAGATCCGATGATCTTATTTACGAACTAGCGGCCTGCCCCCGCTTCGCACGGGTCCAACTATCTCGCTATCAAAGGGTCACTTTAAAGAAAGATAAGAACCTTCTCCTGACAATAACAAACACAACAAAAAAAGAATCAGCAAAATTGGTCCAGGCGTTGTTGAGTTATGCGCTTACCAACACATTTTGCGATCCATTTTTATATATAAGATTAAGTAATAGTAATAATGTATGTGTAGATAAATAATAAGAGACAGGCACCTTTCCATCACGAAATTTTATGTAATTTTATGAAATTTTATGTAATTGTGGTGTTGTAAACTGTAGATGAATGATCTTGACACTAGGATAGACAAATCATCCAATCTTTTAGTTATTATAAATACTTTTTTAGGTACTAAGAATAAAGAATACTTATCGTCATCGGGTGAAAGGCTACCAAAATTATAAGATTATGAATAACATGGATGTGGGATTTGAAAAGTATCTACTTAAGTACTTCATGGGTATTATTTTTCGATTAATGAAACTAATAATCAAAATGAAGATCGATTTTACAGCTTTTTCTGTCAATTGTTCATAATTTTAACATAGGTAAGTACTTCTTTTTTTATTGTTTTAATTCCTCAAACCCCAAGCGAACATAAATTGTGCCTCGAATCACCACGATTGGAAGCTTAAAACTCGTACTTTGATAATATGGCTTATTGTAGGCAGCGTCCAAACTAACTGCATTAACACCTGAAACAATACTTAAGAGTTTCAGTTCACCTGTGTCGTCCAAGAAAGTTGTCGAATGGCTCCCGAGGTGGCTCTGCCAGGGTTACAACGGACAAGTTACCACCTTGTCGGGACGTGGTAGCCATTGTAATATTAATGCACGTTTGAGGGTAACTGTCACGACACGACGGCTGTAGGTACTCCTGCCCTTAATCACAATAACAATAACATGGAACATACAGGGTGATGCATAATACCGTCCTTTTGTTAAGAGTTACTACCATCGTAGCTGGAGTCAAGGACATTTTTTCAACGTTTCGATAAAAAGGCTAACTGCAAGTGTGGTTTTTTTTCGTTAGGAGTAAATCATCAAGTTGGTTTTCCCGCCCAGGGAGTGGCAGACTCTTACTGACCAAGAACGCCCCGTTTCATCTCCTGCTCAAGTGCAAGGCCGCGGTGTCTTATTGCGTTTGCCCCGGCTGAACATTAGCCCTATAGGGCTCTTTTTGTGGTGGCGTTGCGTTCAGCGCGCGCCTCAAATGCTCGGGTGTACCTACTAAGTGTGCAATCAAATATCATTTTGTGTTTGACTGTGTGTATGGTGTGTCAATGAGAAACCCAGCGGAGTGTGTGTGTGTGTGTGTGTGTGACATACAAAATAGTAATAATCATATGGCAAGACATTTCGTTTCACGTAGTGAGTTGTTTGAAATATTTACACTACTTGTCAATTTAGGTAAACCCGAATGCCTATTTAACACTTAGAAATAACTAATTATAAATGAAGGCATCTTTAACATTGCTATTTAATAAGAAAATAAAATACATCCAAACATACCTAAGTACAAGAAGGAAAATTTTGCCGCTCACAGAAAATCAACATCCTATAGTGTTCTCTCCGCAACCCTATCCCAAAGGCAATTATGAAGGCGAGTGAACTGCAATCAAAAACGTAACAAAACCAAGTTTAGTCGAGGAATGTTCGTTAATATTTCATAAGCTATCGAATTAGGTGGCATGTTAATCACCAAATATTCAACCCCTTATAATTACGGCAAAAACAACGAGTCCTAAACGAAAAAGCTTAATCTAATTTTAATTTTAATAATATCAAACCACCAGGGATGCTCTTGAATTTCCTCCCGCTTTGTTGTGATGCTGCCGAGCTGAAGACTTCAGGTACTAGTCTAGGCTTAACTTGTAAACCGGAGAACATTTTATATTAATAGCATTTATCAAAGCCACGAAAAATCATTGTCATGTCTCGCAGGTTAAGGCCGTCATCTTGTTTTTTAGGTTAATAATACGTATAGATAGTGAATATGTACGTAAATCTAGAGGAAACTTGGACTCGTAATTCCTAATCATCAGTTTGAAACCATCGGTCTTTGACCAAGCACGTTGATTTATGTTTATATCTTCTCTATATGATAATTGGTACCCGCACATCAAAAAGCTGATTATAATGAGGTGCAACTACTTCGATATAGTTTTAAAAGACTGTTACTGTTATTGTTCTACATTGGGATATGTAAGAGGAATTAAGTACTTAATAAGAAGTACTATAATCGTACATTCTGCGACTTATAGACACACACACCCGCCAAATGACAAAACAAAAACTTATATATTAAGGATCGACCACGTCAAAACTTTACCGAGATGATCCAAACTCTTCAAACAAAAGAAAGAAGCTATCCCACTCAATTTATGTGACGTCATTCAATTACCTGGCACTTAGCACCGACGACCATCCATCTCAACTCCAACTTTAAATGAACATAATATTTTAAGAGGAAGCAGATCAGTAAAACAATCCATCTCTTTTCTCAGCTGCCTAACACACTCTATTGCTCCGGTAATTTGTAAAAGTTAACTCACTGTGTG